TCTACACTGTGATGTTGCTACAAGAGGTTGGTAACGATTTGTCAGACTTTGACCTTGCTTTGACTTCACTTGCAAAATTCTGCAGTTTCTTGCCTATTATTGCCTTGATCTCCAATAAATCAGGGTAATTACATCCAAAAGACCCAGAAGATTTTTATAAGAAACAGAATTATTCAAATAATAATTATATGTAGCCAAGGTTCTTCAAGGACTTGTTGGCTTATTATTTTATATATTTTTTGGCATGAAAATATGAACTCAACAACTTTCTTTACTTAGTGTGTATTAAAGGCAGGATCACATAGTTAGAAGATAATTTGGCCAAATTAGGTTTGTCTTTTATCTCTTGACTGGAAAACACTCTTCGAGTAGGATTATATATGTGGATAATTTTTACTTCCCTTAATTTTTAGTTTCCTTGCCTCTAATTCTGGTGCTCAGTGTAGCTTTGAAAACCCTTGTGAGTTTTGCAGTGAAAGGACATGTTTGTAAAGGCTCTGAAGGTTCACTTAGATCTTATTTTAGTTCATAACAGTGCCCTCTACTTCTTGTCCCTGAGATGAAAGAACAAAGCAATATCAGCAACCTTGACTTGATTTATATGTAGGATAGTTCCTGTCATGAGAGGGGTAACAAGTAAGCCCTTTTGTGAGTACACATTTAATAGAACCCAGTGGTTCTGGATCTGAAGGACATATTTTATTGTATAGATTGGCTTTGAGCTATGCAGAAAGGTCACCCTGGGGATATCCTATTTGTCAATTTAGATTTGCTTGTGTTAGAGGGAATCAAAGTGATAGATGGAATGACTGGAAAAAACAAAACCAAATAGAAAAACCTAACCAAAGAAAACATTTCAGTCCTTCGAATGCATGTAAGAGAAACCATTTGGCAATGGCGTTGGAGCATATCTCCTGCATTTTAGATGAATAGCTGAGAAAAGAAATCATGTTTTTACTTTAGAAAGGAAGTAAAACCAGTGAAAAGGAGAGAGAAGCAAGATAAAGGGCTAAACCAGGGGTGGGCAAACTTTTTGACTCGAGGGCCACAATGGGTTCTTAAACTGGACCGGAGGGCCGGAACAAAAGCATGGATGGAGTTTTGTGTGAACTAATATAAATTCAAAGTAAACATCATTACATAAAAGGGTACGGTCTTTTTTTTTTTTTTAGTTTTATTCATTTCAAACGGGCCGGATCCGGCCCGCGGGCCCGTAGTTTGCCCACGGCTGGGCTAAACCATAGGGATATGTGTCTTTATATATTGACTGTAAGCCCGGTGCATGGATTCGTGCACTGG